CCCCTTGCTCCCTCCATCTCTTCCTGGAAATAGGTTAGCTCTGCAGTTACATAGCTAGCCAACCACTTCCAACATGCTTAAGAGGTATCATGAGCTACAAAACCTGCCAGTTCTTAACTGTGAAGTGTAACAAAGTCCAGAGGAGTAATTATATCAGTGCTGACGCAGTCAAGCAGGGTCGGAAGGATGGAAGCAGGATGCAGGAAACTGAAGAATTTTGTGAAGGAAGGAAAGGGTAGGATGCAAAAAGAGAAGGTATTGACAAGTGAGGCGAAACATAGATCTGAGATGTACCTTATTTACCATATAGCAACAGGGAGCACTGCAAAGGACGGACATCTCATTCTAAGGTTCCTTCTCATAATTTCTAGTATCATCTGAAACCCTCAGCAGAATTATAGCCCCCTTTGCTCTTTCTTACCTGTTTATTTGTATTGTATATGTTATAAAATGTAAATGTATTTTGGTTTAGCTGCTGAGAGTATGCGTCTCTAACCTTTTGACGTAACGCTTAACGCTCATTGCTGAGGTTTGGCTTTTATCTGCTAATACATCTTATTAGAACTTTGACTTTTTCCCAGATGTCAGTGTACGTTGCTTGTTGTGAAACTCCAGTAAATGCTCTGCACGGCTGGTGAATGGACTTTCTGGTGTTTAGCACCTGCTGCAACTAATGCATACAGCCTAGTATATAAGCCTAATATATAAGCCTAACTAATCGCTTGTGTAGTCTTAAAAATGGGCCATGTGATCTACAGAGCACTGAGCACTGTCATTGCCAGTGCTTGGCAGATGACAACCTAGGACCTAATGCTGTAGGGCTCAGGCTGGCATTTAAGAGGATGTAAAGGTGTGGTGTATTGCTTAGAGGAAGAAAATCTCTGGAGTCAGCACTGAAGGTCCAATCTGGGAAATGACTCCTCTGTGCGCACATGGATCATTTTTTCACTCTATGTAGTAACTTCAGATAAGCTCTCACTTGGATTGTCTACCTCTGGACAGGGAAGTTGAATGTATTTCACTTTTCTTCTTAGCAGCTTCCCTGACAATATCTGGCTTGCTAATCCTGCAGAAGAAATGAATTCCTTCAAAATATCACCACTGAAACGTTAAAAAAAAAAAAATCTGTTGATAGCAGACTTTGTACATGTTTGCTTCTTCAACACAATTTGATCTAAATTTAATTTAAGATTACCATACTAGTACCATACTAATAACGTGGTGGTAATATTCATATGCAGTTGTAGCCTACGCCAATTATAAGATATTGTTAGATTTCTTGTTTGTATGGTACTAAAGTCCTATCTGATTTGATTTAAATGAGTCACTGACCCCTCACAATAACAATCACAGGAATACTTTGTACTCATATAGCACCCTTCATCTCAGAGCATTTCTGAAACTCTAATTTTCATTACATCCTTGTGACACCACATAGGTAGGCGCTTATGCACACTTCAAAGACAGGTGAACTGTGACACAAAAAGGTTATGTAACTTGGCTCAAATCCCATAGGAACAGTTGGGAGTATGAACTCTCCCATTGCTTTTTCTAAACTTTCAGGCAGTAACACCTACCTCCGAAATGGTCTTCATAAAGCATTAATCAAAATGTTTAACCTCCTACTAGGTTTGTAAATGCCATGGACAGAAGATAAGCTCCCTAATTCTTTTTGATGCATTATTCATGGCTTGTTCTGCTTTTCTGGCAATGCTTTTTTTCTTAAGAATAAAAAAGAAACTCATTCAAATACAAGAAGAAAGAAACTGTTTATTTTTCAAGCAATGACTGCAAAAAAAAAAAAAATTCCAATCAAAAATAGTCAGCATTTCCTTTATGGCTTGCCTGTTTAATCCCAGCTCCAAACTCATGCACAATCTATGGCAATTTCTCTGCAGGAGAAGAGCACCCCAGTGATTCCAGGAAAAAGCAGCAGTAGGACTCCGTTTGCTTTAGTTTCCAAGGAACTACATGCCACTGCACAGAATTATAACTGTAGATGCAATGCTTACGTTTGCAAATAAAATTGCCCAATGAATGGCTAGTGACACCAATTCAAACTAATAATTTGAATACTACTATATTACAGCTAAACAGGGAAAAAAATCCTACCGTTCCAGTTGATAATTAAGGAATGACTGCAGACAGGCCACTGAGTGCTGACGCTACTTTCAAAACATCGCTATCCGTCCTCTGTGACTCCACGAGTAGCAAACAGGGTTATCAGCCATATTTGCAAATTGTATTTAATCCTTCCTGAGGCTGACCGTGCCCTTCAGAGCAACTGAGTTAACTAATGTGCACCTCACTTCTCCCCTTTTATAACAACACTAATACAAATGTACACATTAATCTCAAATTAGGCTACCGCAACATATATGAGCAGCTTTGAAACGGTGTTAAAAGAAGATGGATTTGGGAGGTGATAGCTTTTCGCACGTACAGGTAGGGGTGGTATTATCTGGGGTGAGTTTTTTGAGGTTGGGTGAGTTGTTTGAGGTTGCATGTTGTACTTTGTCACATTTATCTACTTCCAAGTAAACATACCCAACAACTTTTTTCATGGAACCTGGGATTTTTAATGCAAACTCTGATCTCTAGCAGCTGGGGACTAATTATCGTGAATCTTGTCATAAAACGTTAAGAATTAAGAATGCTCTCAGCAGCAGAATGAAAGTAAGAATCCTTCTTCCAGTGGTGTTAAGCTCTACAAATGAAAATGCTGTAAGTGTGTATATATGTGTATGTGTACAGATAGAGATAAATAAATACATGTGCGTGCACAAGTGCACACACATGCAATCCCCCCCCCCCCACACACACACACATATATTGTGCAGAGAAGGAAAAATGAACCAAAACATTTGCTTCTATTTTCCTGGAAGCCTTCTGCTAAGAAGAAAAATAAAGAAAAAACTATGTAGCATTGTAAATAAATTCTATGGGAAGTGGGCAATAAAAGCAAATAACAAAATAGGATGATTTCTCTAATCATCTGTTAATCTACCTGGTTTACTTGTTTTCAGTAGACCCAAAACTCAGATATTTGTCCAAGAAGATTTTACGAGCTGAACAGATGAGATCAGCTGACGAGATTGAAATAGCTCTGTACTATAGCTTTGTCCTAAAGGGTTATTGGATTAGGGTCCAAAGGCCAACAGAAGACTGACTCTTCATGGACTGCAGCGGTTCTGGAACGGACTGCAGGAGATGAGCTTGTTAGTTTTTATGAGCGTTGCTCTAGCATTTCTTACTTCCTACAAACTAAACAGAATTGACATAGAAAATAAACAATCGTATAGGACAAGGATGACCATCATAAACTCTCTTCTACAAATATTCTGTATCTTTCCTGCAAATTTCACATCAGCCATTGAACAAAAGCATTCAAGACCTAGAGAAGTCTCTCAAGCTAAAACAGTTGCGATTCTGTTTTCTTCTTGCTTTTCAATCTCAGGCTAGTGTATTAGGTTTTGTTAAAAAGCCTCTGATTTGAGCACTCTGCTTCCAAATACTCTTCCTGCCTGAGAAAGCAACGTATGAGTAAGACATATCACTGTATAAATAAGACATATTAAAGTTCATGACTTATAATATAAGTTAAAAATCTAAAAAAATTCCTTAGAAAGAAGACTTCCCTGTTCAGGTAAGGCTCATTCTCCCCTAATTTTATGCAGCTGTCTCTTACAGCTGACCTATAGTTTTTCCTCTGTCTCTTTTACAGTATTGTTCAGAGGCGGTAACTTCATTTCATGTAAATTTGACTGACTTTATGTTAACGTTCGCAGAAATCTTTCTTATCTGAAGCATACATTCACAGAAGGAGGTACTGAAGCCTTCTCAGAGCTATCTGTTGGCACACCCATTCTTTTATGTTGCCTTCGTTCAGCCCTGTTATTAAAATGACTACAATTTTGGAGAGCAAAAAGGTGACTGGCTCAGGAGATCCATATAATTTCAGCAACCCAAGCCCAGTTGTAATGTCCTACAAATGTAACAAATAACTGCACGTATTACATACAGGAAAATAAAATTATTATCCTTTTGTCTGTAACAGGATCTCTTTAGACCTGGAGTCACTTTGTCTCTGCCTTAGTTTCCCGATTCTCGTCTAGGCAAGGCTCCCACCAGGCTGGTGCAGGAGGCATCTTTCCAGCTCCCATTTCTGACCCCAGGTTTTCTGCAGTCTCCCTGCTCCCTAGATTTCTCCCCTTTGAATTAGGTACCTCCCCAGCCTGTCCGACAGGGAATGACCCCAGCTCCCCTGGAGGGCCAATCCCAACCTGTAACGTGGCTATCATTTAAATTCCATTTTGCGAGGCATTTTGTCCACGACACTGTAAGAGTTGGACAGATACGTGCTTAAAAGTATCATCCATAAGTTAACAACCCCACAACGTAACCAGAGAACAGGTCGCTGGTGCCAGGCCAGACAGAACGGCCTTCGTTTATAAAACTGGAACTTCTTTGCTGAGGGAAGGGCTCCTCTTCTGCTAAGCCACACTGATTTGAGAGATGCTTAGAAATTTGCCTGCTAATTTTTGAAACCTGACTGACAAAGCTTACTGAAGTCAATGGGAACTTTGAAACACTCTGGCACAGAAACAAGCCGACCTTCTTTGAAGCACATTGTACGCATGCACCTGTCATACTAAGTTTTCTTAATGAACTGCTTTCAGTTTAACTTCTGTTGCATGTCAGTTATTAATATTTAATCTTCTTTTTCCCCATCTATCCCTTCCCTATCTTGAGGGTTTGTTTTTTTTTTTTCTTGCGCAGGGTTTATAGAAGACAGACTTAGTAGGAAAGTATGTAGTCGTTAGACAAAGACGCAATTGCACCTTTTTATTATCATGGCTTATCTAAATTTAAAGGACTATGAGATTAAGACAACTGTGACAAACATATCACTAGCGTTAACTATTTTTTCCTACTGTAACGTTTTTCCTTTGATTTTGCTCTTTACCTACAGGTGGAATTGCCGGCTAATTTCCCAGTACCTTTGCTCAAGGAGCAAGCGCGTACTCCGGGTGGAAAACCCCAGCTTCTCGACAGAACCGAGTGACTTGTGACAAGGATAACAGCGACGGGGGATGTCATACTTATTGTGGCTGTCCAGCTTAACCCTTGCGAGCGAGCGTCAGCGTGTCCTGCCCTGCTAAAAACCTCAGTGCTAGGCCGTGTATCGCACAAAGACCGAACCGAGAGACCAGCGCGCTCCCCGCATCACCACGCCGTGACAAATAAGCATCCTGAATCAGCGGCGGAGGGAGCGGAGAAAGGAAAGGGGGGGGGGAGGGCAAGTGCACGCGGTATTTTTAGTGCCAACGTCGCAAAGCGGGATTAGGAAGGAGAGGGGCTGCGTGAGGCTGGCAAGGAGGGGGTGAGGCGGGGGCTCAGCCAGAGGCCGGCGCCGCGCAGGGGCCGCGCCGCTCGCTGCGGCAGGG